CCTCATTATGTTTACAAAGTACAGCATTTTTCTTATAAGTTTTGGGATAATTTATAATAATTATTTCACTCTGAATTAAAATTTAACTTATAAACCCAATTTGTTTTCAGGATCTTCTAACATTTTATTTTTAGGATAGTTTAACAGTGTTTTTTCTAATGCAACATAGTTAAAAAATCATTTGATGACTCCAACATTTTAAAATAATTTATTGTAAAAATTAAAAGCAAATATACAATTAAAAACTCTACATGTTTTCGTGGACAATGTTCTACCATCTTCCCGAGACATGAAAACCACAGGGAATTTCATTTGTGTACATACACAATGTGCATATTGTACAGTGGTGCTATTTACAAAATTAATTTCTGTGGCACCAGAACCTAAATCTCTATTCAAAATAATTTTGTTTTTAGCAGTTTCTAACAATTCTCTTATGTTTAATTCATTCTGTGACTTAACTTCTTTAAGTATTTGTACATTATTCCAATCAATACTATGTTTTTAATTGAAAATTGGTTTTAAACTTTTACAATAAATTATGGTGCATTTTAAAATGTTGGAGTCATCAAATGATTTTATTAAATCCATGCACAAGAACTGTCAGTCTAATATAGTGGTTATATACATATAGGCACACACACACACGTGATCAAATTTTCAGTCAATGTCATTGCTTTACTGTTACTAGTATTGGATAATAATGATTGCTGGTCCTGCTGAACAGATGGTTAATGTACAAAGTGTCTTACAGATGAGAAATGGTTCAGGGATAAAAAAAAAATTCTCTCCATTTCCCATTTGTTTGTATAATATCAAAATGTTTGAGCCAAAAGGATTAATAAAATCAAACCAGCTTATAATTTGCAATACAACTCTTAAGCATAATGAATAGCCTATGAGAACAATACAACTGCTTCAATATTATGAAAAGTAAATAAGCTATAAAAATATTTCTCAAATAATGAAGATATTCCAGTGTAGCTACCATTGCTTAAAATTCATCCATAGGACAATAGTATTCAAAGGAAAGAAGTGGCATTTAACAAAAAGCATTTTTTTAAATATTAATTAGCTTATACAAAAAAAAACAACAACAAAAGAGAAAAGAGCTCATTTTTTTTCAAGCAGCTAAACACATGGTGGACGAGAATGTCAGAGACAAATAATTAAGTGTTTCCAGTTTGCTTTATTTAAAAATAAACAAAAGATCTAATTCAAAGTGCTATAATAAACTTACTTAAATCTTGTGCCTCTAGTTCAACAGTGTCGCATTTTATAAAAGTGTTTACTCCAACATGTAAGTTAGTATTTACAAGTTTTATTCTTAAAGGAGAATGTAACATGTTATTGCAGATATTTTACTTTTCTGAAATGTGCTGTTTTAACAAGTTACTAAAATGATCATATTTTTCTATTATGAAAAACTATGCTCCACAGGGTGCATAAAGAAAAATAGATATTACTGAAACAATCTAGAAGTCAGTATCAAAATTAACTAATCTTTATACATTCAACCCACCTGATGATGTTTTGATAACTGTTTCAGGCAATTTAATTTCTTTTGGATGCTCTAAAAGAGGTGTTATGGGTCGTTTATTTCCTTCTTGATTTAAGTACTGCGATTTCTGTACAAACGAGTGCGTCTCCTTCACTGGAGGTGACTGAGGAATATTTGCATGCCTGAAAGAAGAATCACATTCCTTCAAATAGCTATGAAAAATTGAAAACTCTTGCATGTATATTTCTGTATGAAGAGGAAATATGTAGCTAAACCTTCTTCTATAATTTGTAAAATGGTTTAAACTGTTATTGATATGAGCTACTACATTAGACAAAAAATCTAAGTTTTACCCTAACTTAAAATTGTATATGAGAATGCTTAAAAATCTGCCCTAATCGGCATCTAAACATGGGATGTTAGGCTCAGAACAGTGTTTCCACACCAGTGCCCTACCAACCGAGTAATAGGGGCTCATGCCCAAAACAAACCATTTCCCATCTTACTCATTACAATTACTTATATATTTTGTTTGATAATACTAGAATTTTAGACTGAGATTTAGAAAAATAAATTTTCTAAACCACAAATAACAACATATTGTTCATATATTAAAACAATATACAGCAGTAACTTAATGAAAAATATTTTCACAAAAAGCAATATTAGAGAAGGTTCTATCCTAATCTGATATAGTAGATTTATAAACAAATTATTATCTTAATAAACACAATATATTATCAATATTTAGCTCTTCCATTTTATAAATTAACAAACCTTTATTCTTACACACTTTAGAAAAAAAATCAGCTTAAGCTCAAACTTCAATAACAAAGTTGTTTTACAATTAATTACCTACGTTTAGTACACAGTGTATGTCTATAATCAGATTTTTAAGAATAACTAAAAAATCTGTATTTTACTCGTGTGTTATCCCAAAGTTGAGATTGATTTAAACATTTAACTGTCAGATATTACTCAAGAAATTAGTGGCAACCTTGTCAAACACTCACTGTTGGGTGTGATGATAAATGCTGTCTGTCACTGTACTATTTATAGTATCATGTAGAGCTGTAAGTGCAGCAAACGAACTCATGCTTCCATAAAAACTTGAATCATCTGTTAGGACACCATACAAATTGACTGAAACTTTGTTTATGTTGTTGTAGAAGATATAAACATTTTTGGATGTAGCTGGGTAGTTGATGGCTAAAGACAAAAAAAATATCAAAGGAAGACAATTCAAATAATATACAACTTCTAAGGTAATTGCTAATACTGGTGGTAGATAGTATGAGAAAAATGTAAAGTTAGCAAAATAATTTTCTTCTTATTACAATAACATTTGAATCATCAATTAACACTAAACCTGTCCAATCATCCAGATCAGGAAATTCAGATGACTAATACAAATATGGACAAGATGGATGAAAAACAACACTTGAAATACCATCAGAATAAGTATATTTATATTATAAATATCCAAATGGTGGTAAATAAAACAATGGTAATTCACAATTGTTCAAGTTTTTTTTCAATATTTGTTATTTTCAGTTTAAACACTTTAATGCCAAGCGACCAAGAAAACACTTTTTTTTGTAATTAATAGATTAATATTTGTGATTGTAATTACCTTCTGATTATACGATAATAAAAATAAAATTAATGTAAGAAAAAATGTCAATTTTATCACATTTTTTTTATACAGAAGGTTTCTAACTGGTATCTGTACAAAACACATCTGAAATTTGTGAATAATTAGCAGTGTGATACTAGTACAACCTCATAAATAAAGAAGGTTAAACAAAAGTCATTATTATAGAAGTTAAAAAAAATGCCTATTGCAGCACTCACTCTAAAAAGTAACATTTTTCTTGCTACATCTGTTATATAATAAAACAATTCATTTGTTGTTTGTACTTCTGATACTTTGCTCCAATTTTGAACTTTATTTAGGAAATAAGAATCAAATGTTAAAAAGATAAATCCTCCAAAGATAGCATTAGATTAACTTCTATTTACAGGCTTCAATCCCATTACAAACTAGATGTTTAAACTGGATGCTACAATTGTTTATTAACCTTCCCTATCACCAGCCACTAACTAAGAAAGCTGGCATTAAGTACATCAGTGTGCGATTTTAAGAATCGTGAATTCCAAAACAAGTGGAAAGCAACTTCAATTCTACTGCTGTGCCACAATTTAATTCTAGTGTAATGTTTTCAGGCGCTTGAAGAATACGTTTTAGCATAACCAATTTAGCCATTTGTAGTGAACAGCAGTAAAATATGCTATGCATTTGTGGAGAACTATATATGTAAAGCATTTATTCTCAGTTAAAGTAAATGTTGTTTCAAGAAATTACTTACAAACGATGATGCGTTAAACAAGTGCATGCCACACTAGAATTAAATTGTGGCACAGCAGTAGAATTGAAGTTGCTGCTGCAGTTGGTTGTGAGTTCCCAAAACATAACCATTATAAATTACCTGCAACATTTTATCCAATACATTATAACATATACTACATCACCAAAAACTATCAGGACAACAAATCCTCAATTGGGAATGAACCTATCCTCATTAAAGTTGCATCGTGAATATAATCATGCAGTGCTGTGTAGGCGTAAAGGTGAGCAGCTTGTACAGAAAACAAAATGGAGTCAAAATGCCATGATGAAAGAAGCTTGAGTACCTTAAGTAATGGTTCCTATATGTAGCACCAGTGGGCCTACCTATACTTCCAGGTTTTTCAGGTTCACTTGGTATATTCAATCATATATTTTAGACTGTTGCAATTAAGTTTTCCATTTTTGTATTCTGTACAAAATTTACTTTAAGAAAACACATTAAAGTTTTTTGGCCTCAACCACAACAATAAACCTCCTACCAACTTCCAGGATAATGAGAATCTGAGACCACTTTGCCTATTAATAATCAAATACACTGTAATGTATTTAAAAAATGACTGATCATGACAGTATAATAAGAAGGTCTGATAACCAAAATAAATCACTCTTCAGTCCATATGAAATTTGAAAAGTACTATGAAAGGAAACTACACATCCATCATTCAGGCCATTAGAATTCATGAAAGTAGACCATCATGCCATATGAACCTCCAAGCTGCTGCCTTTTACAGACTTCATCACAGGTATTAATGTAAGGTGTCAGCTTATAAGTACTTTCAGTTTTGATATTACAGTTTGAAATAACAGACAACAATCATGAACCGATGAATCTCAGTTCTAAATGACAGAAATCCAAGTTTAACAGCAACTTGGAGTTGCTTTGGATATGGCTGATTTTTATATTTATAAGCAACACACTATCATTACATTTTTATAGGAGGTTTGGGCTTGGTTCACTGGTAAGTTAAAGGATGAATGCTTTGATGTTATTTTACACTCTGGACAGTGCTACAGGCATGGAATTCTGTGCAGATAATAATGCACCATACTATACTGCATGCAGTATCCAGCCATTTTTTGAAAAGAATAACATCCAGAATCTGCAGTTGGAAGCCATAATCCCAGTCAAAGAGAGTCACTCTAAAGTACCACTGGTAGAACAGAAAGGACAGGTCTTAAAATCTCAGTACACTTAAATCTGCTTTGACAGAAGAATGATAAGACTATCCAACCAAATCTGTACTAATGGTTGGTAATAAATATTATTAACATATTCCAGGATTCAATTAACCATTTCCAGACTAGCAGGGTGTTAGATACCCTATTCTTTGTCTTCTCACAATCAAAGTGTTTAACCAACTTGCAATAAAATTCAGTACATATTTTTTTACATAATACCTATTTTGAGCTTCCAAAAATTATTTCATTTGATTCTGTATTTGTATAATTTTCTAGGTTGTGAATTTCCATAACCCTTGTTGTGAAATGCTCTTTAAAAAATAAAGTATTTTCTTTTACTTTAGTTTTATTGGGTGCATAAAATCTTGTAAATATATCAAATAGTTATATTTTCAATAAACCTGCATTTCTTCTAGTAGCAGCATACTAATTTTCTCATCCATCCATTCAATCTGACATATAATGGAAGAGATTGTTGGACAATGTGAAAGAAATAAAAGTGGATTTATTTTTATTGATCAGAAAGTTCCATTTTATACATCCAATGAACTTAACTTGTTTAATATTAAGCAATTATTTATATTTCTTATTTAACATTACCCACTGAAGCAGTTATGTAGTCATAAAAATAGCATAATACATCGATGAACAGCAAAATCACCGACTGACAGAAAAACAACTTTGCCTAAAATCATTATCAATTCCCACACTGCTCAAGATAAACTTGGAGCAGCAGTGATAACATCAATAAATATGGCATCAAAATATATTTTATAATTCAAATTTAAATAGAAGTTTTAATTTCTTATTTCAGAAGGAAATATTAAAATGAATTTCAATCTTCACTTCTCTGTATCATGTGACATCTTCTGTCACAATTGCTCATTTTAGATTTTCTTTTCACTCCTCTATGATCTTCTGAAACTGGCACATACTACACACTTGTACTATAGATATTGTTATGTAAATGTATATTTTTAGCCTCCAAGCTGTTTGCTTTACTAAGATATAAACAAGAAAGTCAAATCCAAATGCCGAACTCCTTCTATCATATCTTGTCTTTCAAAAAATGTCAGTAATTCTATTTCAAATTTGTTATTGAATTATTTATGACCAATAAAAAGATAATATTTTACTTTACTGAATTTTCTAAACACCAGCACATTCAATTAACAGATTTTGAAATAGTTGCCACAGTTTTATCATTAGACACTGTGAAGTTTGCTAGATCAGCTAATGGAATTTTTTTTTAATCAATTTATAGTTTAGTTAGAAAGCTAGTTAACTATCTCCATACAGGGTCAGTCCATTACATTGACCTTGTAACCACAAAGTAATCAGAGTCTCCATATTATAACTTTTAATACAGTATGTGTGTCTTCACAAAATATGGCAAGATTTCAGTAAAAATTACAAGTCTTTTGAACACAGAAAAAAGTCAATTTCTTAATATTTTTAATGAAATATTTCTACTAAAGATTTTTCCATGAATATATGGAGTCAGAGTGTTGATTTCTATGAGTGCAAAGTGATTTTTATGTTAAGATCAAAAACACTCTTCTTCTGAAAAGTTTCAAACTTCATTTGTGTAACTTCTAAAACCATCTCTTAAATAAATATAAAATGTTTTTTTTTCAGTTAAACTTTCTCTACCCTAACTTTATATGAACTCAGTCAATTTGACCAACCTTGTAACCATCATATCAATTAAATCTAAATTACCCTTTTTTCTTTCTAGAATGAGTGCAAATTATAACAGGTAACTTCACTTGTTTATACTAAATAGCTTAAGCTACATAACAGTTTACATATGTTTCTACTTAATATTATTGTTTTATTGCCATTTAAACTGTGTCTAACTAATACTCTTACCATAAAAGTTGTAAATCACTCGGCAAATGTATAGTTTAAGTTACCATATTGAACAATGTAACACATAAGCTACTTGTGAGCATACACCATGTGCAAAATTATCATTATCTTATCTAATTTAGCTTAATATGTTTCTAATTTTTACATTTTAGTTAAATTTTAAAGCAAACAATAAAATATATATACATGAAAAACTACAAAAAATGTGTTCAATGGCTTATTTTTTGCTGCTTGCCAATGAAATTTAAACTTACTTTTTTGTTATGATGGTACTACTACATTAAATAATTTTTATTTATTCAAAGAATGCACCTAAGAACACAGAATAACAACACACACAAAGCAGACAATATCCTCTAACTAATATAATTTAACTGAGGCATAAGAGCCTTAAAATACTTCCATAAGCTTCTCAATCCGAACACTGTGAGAGAAACTTCAAACTGAAGACAAAACAAACAATACTCTCTGCTGAAAACAAAATAATATATGATGTCATTTAATAGATTAAAACTTTCTCTTTCTGTTGGGTATAAATAATATGATAGAAAACGTCGGAGAGAATAATAGACAATTTTTGAAAGAGGATGTGACAGGTGGGTCTAGTTTGTCTCTGTAAATAAAGAAGATTGAAGGCTATAAAAATTAGAATTGCCTTAGTAATACATAAATCATAATGAGTAAATTATGTTGAGCTCCATACTTCAGAGAGGGGTGGTAAATAAATTAGAGAATGGCAAGACCTAGAGAACAAATGTCATGATTCTCATATTTGGGAAGATTGAGGATTTATTTAAATATTTCCTTTTAAAATTAAAACTTATCCCAAAATGTGATTTATTATTAACCATATTTTGATGTCATGTTTATTCATATACATTGATAAAAAAGTAGTATATCACATTAAATAAATGCTTTAATAGTACAAAATATTAATTCTAAAGTATTTTTGAGTAAAAAAAAAGTGTTTAAGTACAATTAGAATTACTATTTTTACTTACATTTTGAAACTTGACAAGAAAACATGCATTTAACACTTGACTAGCTGCACTATGGTCTAAAAAGGGTTAATTAATGTGAAAGGTGTGCTTACTCCCAATTAAAATAGAGCCTAGTAACAACAACATAGCACATATTCCTTCCCAAGATGTGCTGTCCCAATATATTTCATAACAGTATTTTCAGTAGTAAAACTGAAATATTAGCCAATAACTGAACAATTCACTGACATTTATTTAGTTGAAAGAAAATACCTACTTTGACTAACCCTGTCTTCTCCAGCATACAATACATCAAAGTTCACACTTCTTAATGGATGACCAGGGGATAAAATCTTAGCCATGTTTACAGTACTTATTGCTCTGTTGGAAGAAAAAAGTTTATGTAAATTACACAAAGGGATCTTCCCATACTGGTCACTAATTATGACCTGATAAACTAGAGGGAAGGCATCTAGTCAACAACATCCATTACCAGCTCTTAGTTTATGTCTGTCTGGCCAAATAATGGAATTTCACCATAACTCTTATGGTGCACCTATGGTCCTAAACAGAGCATGTTCATGTGGCAACAGGCTGTGAAGCACTAACTCTTGGATTAACATTACAAGCATTCTAACTAATAGACCACACATGGCCCACTCTGTTGGAAAAAAGATGATACAGATATGATGAATGTAATTCTCAACTAAATAAAACCTTGCAAATTAATTATATGTACACTTATATTTTCACTTTATAAACAACTACAATCTCTGGTTAAAACTGATACAACACAGCAACCAATACAAAACTAAAAAAGGTTGTTTTTTCTATTAAATTTACAAACTGTTAATTTACATTGTAAAGACTAAAAAGAAATATCAAAATGAATAACATTTAAATTAGCAATCAAAGAACCGTAAAACTGTAAAATGTTATTCATGCAAAGCACTGATAAGTTCTGTTTCGTAAGAATATTGCAAGCTTAATCTTCATCAAAAGTGTATAAAGCAGTATTACAGAAATTAATTAATAATAAAATAATTCAATGTTGAGCAGTTATTTTAAAAAGCTACACTACACAACATATATACACTCACCTTCTCATCATCTGCCTGAGAATTTCATCTCCATAAAACATAGAAAGTGTGCCAAGCCTTTGATTCCTTTGGTTGACATGCATCTTCCATTTAAAGTCAGACAAAGTACAGGCAATAAAAAGAGTCTGCAGGAAAGTTAAATGACTAAAATAAACTTACGGTTTAGATCCCTAAGTACAGCTGAACATACCAGAAATAATCGAAAAACAGCAACAAAGCATCAACTTAAATGTTTTAACAAATTGAACATTTTGTGTAAATTTATATATCCACTTTGGTAGAAGCATTGAATGAAAGCTTAAACAAAACACAAAGGTTATTTGTTTCTTTTTTGTTGTTTGGTATATTGACATTATGTGTAGTGTGGAAAAACAGTAGTATAAACAATGAGGTATTTGTTTGCACAACAAAAATTATACTAAACTTAAAGCAAATGCATTCACTAATTAAATTCCTATATGTGGGCAGAAACTCCCATCCATAGCTCACCAATCACAAAAACACATTTCACATATCATGCAAGTGTTCATATTTCACCTTCAATTATTGTCCAATTCATCAAAAGTGTTATTGATAATTGTACAGTATCGTGAAGGCTTTCAAGTGCAGAAGTCAATCTTGTGAACTTGTGTTCATTTACAATTTGAGTCTTACTAACAATGCTAGGTTCCTTCTTTATCATTATTATTAACAATTTATTCTCAACTTCTCAAGAGAATGATAGTTGTCTAAGGCCCACCTCATTTAACATCAATTACAAATGTATTATGAAAAACTAAAATAAAGCCATAAAAAGTCAGTTTGTTTTAACATATAAAAATTGATATATTTTTGTAGGGGTACCAGTCTTTTTCTTGTCTATCACATGAAAGCTCAAAAATCAGTTGAAAGTAATTTTTTTTCTACTCCATTATTTTTTTTAACTTTACATAATTACATGTTAGCCACAAAAGCTAATACAGGCTATCAGTATGTCCAGTTTTTACTAGTTTTGTCAGTGAAGTTTTATATTTTGATAATTATTTTATTAAATTATTGCCTTTTAAAGAAAATGCAGTTTTAAAAACTAAAGTTCTTAGAATTTTTGTTTCTTAGCTTTCAGAACTGTGCCTATTTACTTGGTGTGACTCAAGTTTGCTCCTACTTACTTGTTTCTTCTGACTTGTGCATTTTATTCCAACAAATAAAGTTGAGTTGCAGTTTGAACATTGTTGCACATCTTATAACAACAGTAACAGTATATTACATGGCTGTTTCAACTGTTTCTCCAAACATGGCTCATGTCTGATATCTCCACTTTATGTGGCTCGGTTCATTTTATAACTTGATATTCGTTCACAATGACATTATTTATGTTAGAAACAGATAAACAGAGAGTAAAACCTTTTTAAAATTTATGCTTTTAATATCATAAACAACAAATGTATTAATATAATGAGAAAGAATTTTGAAAAGGTCTTAAATGGATTTCCATTTTTGTAAATAATCATATTATTATTATTTATAATCTGGCAAAGACAAAAGTATCCAAGGAATACTTTAACATACAAGACTTACTTTACTCTCCTGTTCAAGCAAGACAAACTCTGAAGGCTGAACTGTTATTCTACCAGCTGGCAAAATACTTTCTAATGATGGGCCTGAAACAAATTTAGTTGAAATTTCAACTGCAGAGACTTAAAAACAAAATCTAGATATATTACAAATATGATTTTTCTAGGTGCAAAATATTTTCTTACTAAAATTGCACAAATCACACTTCAATGACTTACAGAATCATAGATTAAAGATATCATTAGCTGATGTGTACACCACTATTTTTGCTAGTTATTTGGTGTAAAAGTCAATAACACAATGATGTTCACAAAAGGATGATTAACATTTATATTCCATCACTTACACAAATGCCCCCTCCTTTTTTTCCCCCAAGGCCAACAAGTCTATTAAGATATCATAAAAGCAAATGAATAAAGATAGTTACCAGTGAAATTCATGATTTTAATATAGGCAGCTCTAGTTCCTGTATTGGTTACAATAAAATGAGCTAGTGTAGCATCACTTTCAGCAAGTTCTCCTAAATTTATAGAAAAACTAGCTCCACCTTCATCAGGTTGAAGTCCTTCCAATTCCAGTTTACTGGTTCCTCCATATCCTTGAAGTGGAATCTGAAATAAATTATCAACTTTATAATTTATCCGTGAGAGTTCATAGATAATTGGGTATGGGAACCATTTTAAGCACACCATAAAAATTGGATTTTTTCTTAATAGTTTTAGGTGTAGAGTCTACTTTGACTTATTTGCTTTTACTAATGCCATTTTTATTTGTTTACATTAGCACTAGTTGTATATAATGTTTAATTCCTCTCTAAATGAAATATTTAAATGAATTCTTAACCTTTGTTTCTCAGTAAGATGTGACACTTGTTTCCTTCAAGTTGCCTATCTTAAATATTTTTAATTCTTTCAGTACAGGTATCATTTTGTGCATATCTCATGAGGTTTTAGTGAGTTATATTCAAAATTTAACTAAACTACTTTCTTATCGTGGTATATAAATAAAATTGGCATAAAAATACAGTTAATATTACAAATTTGAACATACACTTTGCTTTCTTAGTTTTCCACAGCAATATTAAAATAAAAAAAATCCTTGATTTCCTTTAATGTGAGAATTGTGACATTTGCTCTCTAGATATTCCCCCTCTCTAATTCGACTGAGCTCAAGTGGAAATAGTTAATAACCCTCCGATGATGCCCTGAATTTAACATAAATTACATATTTATAGTATAGATATTGACATGCTATACCCTTCTATGTCAGTAATCCTCTTTGACCTTTGCTATTGATTTACTTATAACCAAGAGAAAGGGAAGAGAAGATTCAAGTTTAACATTTTTCCAAATAAGTCTAGTTTGTTCTTAAGATAGGTTTTGAACCATTTGGTCTATAGATCCCCTGCTGCTATCACTGAGGTCATATTGACAAGATAAGAAAATTATTTTAATTAATTTATAGCTTAGTTAGAAAGTCAGTTAAATTATAAGTTTTACCTTATTATATTTTGCATGTTAATTCTCTCAACACGGGCTCAGTCAATTTATTTTATCTAATCTAATCTTAACTAACCTAAAGAGATCCCTGTTTTTACATTTTAGTTACTTTTATAATACTAAATAAAGAATAAACATGAAAAACAAAAAATAAAGTACTTACCCAAATCTTTTTTTCTTGCTTTCGATTGTCGATGACACTTAACCCTACTTTT